CCAACCCCAAGGCTTTGGTGAATGCATGGATTGGAACCTATTCTTGCAACAACACAAACACCAGAATCAGAATACCTTTATTAGTCCCACAGAGGGGACATTTACGTTGTTACAGCAGAAAAGAGCCGCGGACAGCTTAATGTTACATCATGTTACATGCATTCAAAAGTGTTAAAGTAAAATATATATATAATAAAAAAAATGCAAAGTTACACAATTTATAAAATACACATCCTGTAACAGTTATTAGAATTTAGCAGCCGGGTGTACATTGCACAGTTATTAACGTCATATATATATTGCAAGTTGGTTGGTATTTAACAGCAAGGGGTGTTATAGACATTGAGGAATACAAAACTCTCTTAGCTTGCATACAAAAACTTTATTTGTTGACAACATGAGAGTAAACTAATGAATTCTTAACCAGATGGACGGAATTTTACAATGAGGCCTGGAATCTACCGGAAGCAGCTTTGCCAGGACCAGTGGCCAAATGGTGTTCAGGCAGATCGAGGAGCACTTCAATGGTTAGCAACCCGTGGCGGCGATGGAAAAACATCCAGTCCCTTATTAATTATAGCAGCAATAACAGCACAAACTCCCAATCTGGAGAGGCTTCACTAGTGATGGAAATGAACAAATTCTTTGCACATTTTGAAATGAATAAACAGGGAAACAAGAACCAGAGCTCCCCCAACAGTATCTGGCCCACTTTCCACACTTCAGGAGCACCATGTCAAATGGGTGTTCAGCCTCATGAGCTCCTGGAAAATAGCCAGCCCTCCCAGCATTTCTAGATGAGTGCTTAAGAGCTAGCAGAGGTACTCACTCTTTCTTTCTTTTCTATATTTATATTTCATTATCATTTACCACAATGCCAGTGTAGTTAGAAAAACAAAAAGTATTACAACAAATATCAGCAACAAAATCGCTTGCTTAAGATAAGATGGATCTTTATTAATCCCAGTCGGGGAATTCAGTTGAACAGGATAAGGATGAAAAACAGGACAACACAGATTCACACACATTCATACAATTAAAGATCCCATCCATCCATCCATCATCTCCCGCTTATCCGTGTTCGGGTCGCGGAGGTAGCAGTTCCAGCAGAGAGCCCCAAACTTCCCTTTCCCCGGCCACATCAACCAGCTCTGACTGGGGGATCCCAAGGCGCTCCCAGGCCAGCGAAGAGATATAATCCCTCCGCCTGGTCCTAGGTCTACCCCTCGGTCTCCTCCCAGCTGGACGTGCCTGGAACACCTCCCTAGGGAGGCGCCCAGGTGGCATCCTTACTAGGTGCCCGAACCACCTCAACTGGCTCCTTTCGACGTGAAGGAGGAGCGGTTCAACTCCGAGTCCCTCCCGGATGACCGAACTTCTCACCTTATCCCTAAGGGAGACACCAGCCACCCTGCGGAGAAAACCCATCTCGGCCGCTTGTACCCNGATCTTGTACTGAATTCTCTGGGGGATGGGGAGCCAGTGGAGCTTAATGAGGACGGGTGTAATGCGCCCGTCTACTCACCCACACCCGAATCCGTGAACACATTACACCCGTCCTCATTAAGCTCCACTGGCTCCCCATCCCCCAGAGAATTCAGTACAAGATCCTCCTGATGACATACAAAGCACTCCATAACCTGGCCCCATCCTACCTGACTGACCTCCTCCACAGACACACTCCCACTCGCTCCCTCCGCTCTGCCACTGCCAACCTCCTGTCCCTCCCCACCCGGACCAACCTCAAGTCTTGGGGCGACAGAGCCTTCTCCGTTGCTGCACACACCCTCTGGAACTCACTACCCCAATCCATCAGAGATTCTTCCTCCCTCACAGCATTCAAAACATCACTCAAAACCCACCTGTTCAACACTGCATTCAACAACTGACCACCCCCCTCACCCCCTATTTTCTGTTTTGTTTATCTCTTTTTGTATTTCTTTGTCTTTTTTTTTGTTGTCTTTTCTTAATTCTCTGTCAAAGCGTCTTTGAGTTTCATGAAAAGCGCTATAAAAGTCCCATGTATTATTATTATTATGAAATGTAACTGAAATGAAACAAAAGGTCTTGCTGATGGAATGTTTGATTACAGGCTTCGGTTGGAAGGAGCAGTTAAGAGAACATTACTTCAGAGATTGTTAGGCAGACGCTGTGTCACTACAGTGTTTCAGAAAATGGCTCTGTCAATTCTCCGGCCTTAACTTGCAGTAAATCTTCAGCGTTCAATGCCATCACTTTGAAGCTCTCCTGTGTACTACTTGCAATATATGAATGAATAACTAAAGGAAAACCACTTTCACATCAAAGCGGATTCAACTTGGAAACATTCCAGTAAGGGCACAGCCCCAGCATCCCCTCCGCTGCTAAATATCATCTCTGAAACATTTAGCCTCAGAGGTAAGAGCGGTGCCAGGCAGATCTCCACTGACAGAGCCGGCGCGCACACACACACACACACTGGGTCTTTCATTCTGCTGTCAGCTGTCTCCGTCAATGCAACTCTTTTCCTCCTCCTCCACCTCCACCACACACAGTCGGGGTAATGGCAGGTCTAAAAAGAAGTGGGAGGACAGGGGATTGTGAGACAGATGGGTCCTGGCACCAGCCGAAAACCCAGAGTCTGACACTAATGGGCCAAAGAGAGACGGGCCCATCTGGGCCTGGTACCACTCAACCAGCCAGCAGCAAAACACAATCAAATGTCCTGGTAGTCACCTGAACAAAGTTAAATCAAATTTGATTTTATGTGTGTGTGTTAGTTTATTCTGTTAACCAGGCTCATGTTGAGTTGGAGTCTCCACCTTAAATGCATGTTGACACTTATTGATTTAGTGGATCTGGACCAATTCCATTGTACATTTCAGTCTATTTGTATAAATCTCATATCCAACACAGCAAAGCAGTTCATTTTACAAATTGTGTTTTTGTCCGTTTAATGTTGTTTCCTGCCTTCCATTCCATTCAGTAGAGTGGGGAAATCAATTATGAAAACCTTAATTGACATTGTACGTACACAACAAGATTATGTTTGCTTTACAAGCAGCATAGGAACATAAATATTACAAAAATCAAGTACAGAAAATATTGAGGATATACGACATAGATTGCATTCAATAAAACAGTATATTATAGCAGCAATGCAGTAGTGCAAACATGTTCACGTCAATCTTATAGTCCTAGATAGCTTGGAGAGGGGGTAAATGGGCTCTGAACACTCCCTGGGTGCAGCTGAGGACCCGCTCAGAGCTCTCTGTGCTGTGGTCACGGCACTAAACAAAGCTGGAGTTTAGAAACCGGAATTATTTATATTATAGACCAGTTTTGATGGGGATTATTGTATTAAATGTTTTGAACAGTATTGAGACCTTTAAGTGGCTGCATGAGGTAGGTTATACTAGTGTGAATGTGTCCTGGATCTTCTGGCACAGTACACAACTATGAGAGACAAAATGAGGAAAAAAAAAATCCACAAAATCACATTGTCTGATTTTTAAAGAATTTATTTGCAAATTATGGTGGAAAATAAGTATTTGGTCACCTACAAACAAACAAGATGTCTGGCTCTCACAGACCTGTAACTTCTTCTTTAAGAGCCTCCTCTGTCCTCCACTTGTTAACTGTATTAATGGCACCTGTTTGAACTCGTTATCAGTATAAAAGACACCTGTCCACAACCTCAAACAGTCACACTCCAAACTCCACTATGGCCAAGACCAAAGAGCTGTCAAAGGACACCAGAAACAAAATTGTAGACCTGCACCAGGCTGGGAAGACTGAATCTGCAATAGGTAAGCAGCTTGGTGTGAAGAAATCAACTGTGGGAGCAATTATTAGAAAATGGAAGACATACAAGACCACTGATAATCTCCCTCGATCTGGGGCTCCACGCAAGATCTCACCCCGTGGGGTCAAAATGATNCATACTGTACTACTACCCCCCCCCCCGTTGACATTCGCGATACAGAGGGCTTCATCATACTCTACTACTACCCCCCGTTGACATTCGATACAGAGGGCTTCATGGGAACTTTGAGGGGAGCCGGAAGTTGGAGTACCAAACACTTACTCCAGGTACTCATCTGAGTACCTCACTGAGAAAGTTGTGTGCACCCCTGTATATAGCGCTTTTCAACACAAGGCAATTCAAAGTGCTTTACAAAAAATGAAAGACATTAAGAAAATGGCATTTAAAATCAGTCATTAAAAAGAAAAGTTAATAAAATAAACATTAAAAAAAAAAATACATGGATAAAAGTCACAGTGCAGTTTAAGATGTGAATAGTTCAATTAAAAGCAGCGACAAAAAGAAAAGTCTTCAGCCTGGATTTAAAAGTATTAAGAGTTGCAGCGGACCTGTAGGTTTCTGGGAGTTTGTTCCAGATATTTGGAGCATAATAACTAAACGCTGATTCTCCATGTTTAGTTCTGACTCTGGGGACAGAAAGCTGACCAGTCCCTGAAGACCTGAGAGATTTGGATGGTTCATAATTTAGCAGTAGGTCAGAAATGTATTTTGGGCCTAAACAAAGAGAATCTTTTGGGCAGATGACGATAAAGATTTGTCTTGATTTCTTAATGATTTTCTTAATGAACAAGGTTGAGCACAGCTTCAAGAACAACAATGTAACGGTGTAATTAAAGGGGTAGCAACTCCCAGACAGACCTATATTAGAATATGTTTGCCTCTGAGGTGTTCAGACTCATTTGTCAATGTAGTGTAATTAGCTTCTCTGCTCTCCCATTAGAAACCCTTTAATTAAGCCTGCAGTCATTTCAAATACTCAACTGTTCCATCTATACTGCAAGTCGACTATCTCTCATCCAATCAAGAAGAAGTGACAGACTGATGCTCCCTGTCAGCGACACAGCCTCTCACATCGGAAATCTTTCATTATCATCTCTGTCTCATTTGTCGTTTCATGTCTGGGCTGAGTTTTTTCAGCTGAAGTCAAACTCAATACAGATTTCAACATCTCAACACTCTGACAGAGAGAAGAGCCTTTTTGAAATTATACTTCTCTACAGGCTGTTGTTTTTATTTGTGTTTAAAATTACTCAGTTATATTTAATTGTCCTGTAAGCCATGACTGTGTGGCAGTGAGTCAGTATTAACAAAACCAATTAAATAATATGTTCCCCTCTTTTTATCGGTGTTTTAACCCGCAAAAGTTTGTTGAAGTAGAATTTATTTTATTACGTCCCAAGGAGATAAGCGTCTCTCTATATTTTTTGCAAAACACTATTATTAAGCCATTAAAACCCAATCATTTATTACGACCAGCTTAAAACCTTATTGACAAAGTTGATCCAATCCAAACCCCACCTGGCTGCAGCTACTTCTTACACACTCCTAGCTAAAACATGTAATTAGTTCCTAAATGTGAAAACACAGAAAACGATAGGAAGAAATAAGTATTTGCCTGATATGGCATCTTCAGAAACATGCTGAAAATGGCAACAGATACACAAAATAAAGAGCAGAAGTTGTACAAATGTACATTGTTGGCATATGCTACTAAGCTTGTAGATCACCTGATTCTACTAACAAAGCAGCGCCTGTACTGTAAGTGAGTTCAGGCAGATATCTCAGATGTGCTGCTGCTCGCACATGACAGATGATCTCAATGCATTATACATCAACTCAATAGGGCAATGTGCTGTGTTAAAGCCTTCAGTGCTGGCTCACTTCTTTTCTCTGAAGTGCACTGCTCATCAGAAACCTCGCTGCTGCCATCTCATAAAGCAGCTACCTGTATGCTCTCAGACCAACTTTCTCTGAGAGAGACGTTACTGTCAATCACTGCTCTGCTGAGCTTGCACTATTCTTACGGGTAGTGACAAGGTCAGAGCTTCGAAGCCAAATATCAACTCAACGCATATTCTGCATTCACACAGCAACCCTGGCTGGCTGAAATACTCTTGGCAGGATGTAGAAGCAGTGACCAAAGTGCTACTAAGGGAGAACATTCCCAGTTGAAGAATAGCAAGGAAGCTGACCTGTACTAATGGAACACATTTTGGATACAAGGCCAATCTGTCAAATGACATTCATTTAAAACCTTGAATCAAGAATGTTTTGAAGTTTGAGTTAGTGATTCACAGAAAAGTAGAAGTGCATTTGAAGACTGCAAACCTCTGCAAAGTTCATTGAGGAAGGTAATATATATTTTATTATCATGATTTGAATCCTCTCTAGAAAGTTTGAGTAAAAAGTTATTCCTCGGCCCATGCGTCCCCCATGCACCAACATGAATCAGGCTTCACTTTTTTAGACAAACAAACAAACCAAAAACATAAGGTAGTTATGGAAACTTCATTTGAATTCAGCACATCACCAATTCCTCTGAATTAATTTTTAAAGTAAAACCCCCTTGATAAGCTGCAGAGCAACCCCCATGGAACATTGGCATATCATAAACAGGATGTCTGTCGCATGCCAGCTTTCTAATCTCCGTCATCATGGATATTTCATGACTGTAAAAAGAAATGTCAAATTCCCTTTCCGACCCTATTCTACACGTCTGTGCACTCCACAACACTCTCCTGGGGATTCAAAGGCCTCTGAGAAGACAGCACAGCGCTAACCTCCGCTGGGCATCAAAATCCTGTCAAACAACCCTTCCAGCATCCTGCAGTAACGCTCCGTCTTACCGACGGCTATCCACCCGCAATACACAGCTGTTTTTTATGCCTTCAATGCTCAGCTATGCAGAAAATTAAGTCCTGCGGCTATT